CACCATGGCAACCGCGCGCTGACGCGGGCCCCCCGGAGCGGCGGCACGGACCCGCGGGCACCAAGGAGCCCCGCCCCTCCAGCCGTGAACGTGGCCGGAGCCCCTGTCAGCAGCATCCCGGGACCCTAGCCCGGAGTGCCCTGGCCCGTCCTCTGTACCCGCCTTCCCCGGGGGCCCGCCCCCTGAACCTTCCCCGAGTCGGTGGGGTTCCGGGTCCCCCACTCGGACATCCTCTTAGAACCCTGTCTCCCGCGGCGTCTCTCCGCGGACTGGACCTGCGCGTCCCACCAGTCAGCATCCCTGCCAGGGTCCCTTACCTCCAGGACCAGACAATTCCTCGGTCCCCAGCTGCCTTCGCCCCTCGGCTGGCAGCCCGGGCCTCGACTTCCCCTCCCCAGTATCCTCCCTGGATCCCGGGCCCCGTCGCCTCTCCACTCGTCTACAGGCCACCCCACCATCCACCCCAGGCGTGACCCCTCCTCAGGGCTGAGGCAGAGTGGCACCACTGAGTACCCCGCGGAGCCCTGAATCTGGGGGCCGCTCCGCCCACCTGCTCCCCGGCTGGCGCCTCGGTTCCGCTGCAGGCACTACCCGCCCCCCGCCCGCCACTCCCCATCTCGCACCCAGCGAGCAGGTTGGAGGCCCCGCAGTCCCCACTTCCCTCTGCTCTCTGGCGTCCCTGGCCCCCACTGTGTTCCTGGCCCGCCCGCTGACGTCCCGGCTCACCTCTAGCTGGGGACGGGCACCCCTCACCCGACCCGGGCGGAGGCGGCCGGGCCGTGGGTCGGAGCCCGGAGCGCCCCCCGCCCCGGCCTCAGGTTCCAGCAGTGGCCGGCGCCCCCGGAGGCGCAGCGCGGGCCCATGGCTCCGACCTTGCTCCGGCCCGCCCGCGGTCCGCCCGCGGCGCCCCTGCCGTCACCTCCCTGCTGCTCGCCGCGTCACTGCGGCCGCCCCACCCCCTTCCTGAGCCCGCTGGCCCTCCCCACGACAGCAGAGGGCTGTCCCCTTCCTTCCTTCCCCCACTAGCAGGCAGCGGGGAAGAAGCCCTCCGCCAAATGCTGGCGCTTCTTACTTCCTGGGTGCTGCTTGGGGACCCCAAAGCACTCCTGTTTCCCACTCCACCCCGGCCCATCCCTCCCGTGTACAGCGAAGTGCTGGAGTTTGCTGTGGCAGAGCACCACCCTACAGTCACAAGCCCCTCACCCTCTGCAGCCCCAGGAACCTGTGACTCAGGGCAGAGGAAGTGCCTCCTTCCTCAAGTCTGGTCAGGAGCTGGAGGTTGGAGGTCCCAGAGCCCCAGGCCTCTAGGATTACTCAGCTATAGGACCGGGGCAGAGGTCTGCTGCTACTCCAAACTCTTCGGCCAGCCCCTTAATGGCACCACAAGGCCTTCACCTGTACCTTCTGAGTCCACAAGCCTGGCCACCCAGCCACCAGACCCTGGGCAAAGGCCAAGACACTGCAGGCAGGCGGGCACGCAGGCGGGCTCAGGGAGCCCCACCCAGCCCGCCAGAAGGAGCTGGGTCTCACCCAGGCTGGAGGCCAAGCCTCTCCCCTTGACCCTGCTCCCTAGGAAACTGGTACGGGGGGGAGGAATGCCCCTCTCCTCTGGGGAGTCGGGGCTATGGTGTACTCAGAGCCTCCCAGGGTGGATTCGGAGCAGAGGATGTTATTAGGGCATTAAGGCATGTGAGGGAGTGGCAGAAGTGAACTGGCCATCCAGCCAGGCATTACCTGTAATCAATCCAGAGGAAGAGCCCTCTAGACCCAGGCTGGCAGCAGTGCCCTCCAGCTGTGCAGGCAGCCAAGGCCCTGTGCTGCCCCCTGGTGGCACCGCACAGAGGGGTGCAGGGCTCTCAGCTCCTGCAACCCTTCCCACCACCTACATACAACTGAAGGCCAAGCGCCTGAGCTGGGGGCCCACCCAAGGGACAATGGACAGCAGAAGCAAGGCCAGGCCAGTTTTAGTCAGTCTCTGCCCCACCCCTTCCCCTCCCTGTCTGGCCCACCCAGGCTTAGCAGAAGAACCAGACCCAGAAAGGCTCAGAGCTGAGAGAACAACTCCAAATCATCTTTATTTTATACAAAAAGGGCATATTTAGCAAAAGACACACTGAGAAAAGAGTTGCTATGGCCCAGGAGACAAGGCAGGGAGGCGACAGGCCTTCCAAGACCTGCTGGGGGACAAGGGGGGACCTGGGACAAAGTGGTCAGCAGTGCTGGATAAGTGCTAAGTGGTGGCGGCCACAGAAGCAGAAAGTTCCAGTTGGATCAACACTGTTGGTAGGTCATGGGTGGGTCTCACAGTGACCTTGCTGCTAACTATTGCCGGGCGCCCCAGTTAGTGCTGCCGAACGAAGAGGGGTGTGCCCCTGGTTCCCGGAGGGTGCCCACCAAGGGACACAGCACAGGAGGCCCAGGACGGGGAGTGCAACTCGGGGTGAAGGCCAGGGAGAAGCTGGTGCTCTGCAGTGGCTGGAGAGGTCCAGACGCTGAGGTGCAGGCATTTCCTGTTACGTGCGGGCGTTCCGCTCTGTCTCGGCCAGGCACTCTCTGACTAGGGCCCGGGCATGGATGATGCCTGGGGTGGGGGAGTAACATACAGGGTCTCAGCAACCCGCCAGAGCCCACCTCACTCTCCAGAGGAAGACCCCGTCCCTCCACTGTTTCCTTTCAGCAGTTATTGTTACTGAGTGCCCTCGGGTTGATTCTGACTCAGAGTGACCCCAGGTGACAGAGCAGAACTGCCTCATGGAGTGTTCTAGACTGTAATCTTTATGGAGGCAGATCACTAGGTCCTTCTTCCGCAGAAAAACCTAGTGGGTTCAGACCACCAACCTTTCGGTTAGTAGCCGAATCCTTAACCATTGTGCCACCGGGGCTCCTTCCTTTCACTTAAAAAAACCAAAACCAAACCCGTCGCTCTCGAGCCGATTCCAACTCATAGCGACCCTACAGGACAGAGTACAACTGCCCCATAGGGTTTCCAAGCAGCAGCCAGTGGATTCAAACTGGTGACCCTTTGGTTAGCAGCCAAGCTCTTAACCACTGTGCCACCAGGGCTCTCCTTTCAGTAAAAGGGACTAAAATCTAGGAGAGGCTGGATGAGATGGGAGGCTCGGCTAATCCCCAAATTCGCCTTGTTAAAATGCCAACAGCCAGGCCCCTCCCTGGAAATGGTCTCAATTTAATTCAAAATGCCTCTCTGGGTAGTGACACTGGCTTGAGATCTAGGCTCCGCTCTGGTAGCCTCCAGATGGCCTTCCTTCTCTAAGGAAGAGGCTGCCCAGTGTCCATCTCCTGGGCAGGGCCAGGTGGGCCTGAGCTTGCTTACCTCTCTTCAGGCGCTCCATGGCACTCTTGCTTCCAGCATAGGTGGGCCGGATCTCTTTGCCCATCTCCTCTATGACAGACAGGAGGTCCGTGTAGGTGCTCTGGGAGCCCTGAGCGCCGGGTGGCTTCATTGCCTAAGCCAAGGAGAACAGGGCAGTGAGCTCGGGCCCCGGGCGGGCTGCCAGCCCTCATCCCTAAGCACGCCGTCCCACTCACCTGCACATAGCCCATGGAGGGAGGTCCAAAGTCGTTAAAAAGTGGCCTGAAAGGGGCAGCGGCTCCCGGCCCCGAGCCCGACGGCGACGGGACACTTCCAGCTGCAACAGGCGCGAGGAAGAGGTCAGCACGGGGCAGGGACGCCTCCTCCCAGAGCTCCGAGCCCCCGGCCAAGTCTGTCCGATTCCCTCCGAAAGGATGCTTCATTCCAGGCGGGTCAACTTCAGGGACAAACCCCTCCCCCTGCGCCCCACCTACAAGCCCTTACGTCACCACGCCCACTTCGCAGGACAGGAAACTGAGGCTCCAGGAGCGTAGGCGGCGGGCCCAGTAATGCAGAACTCAGGCCGTCTTCTCTGGGAGACCTCGAGCACCCGGGGAGGCGAGCAGGGGTGGAGCTGGGTCCTCACCTGTAGGGACCGGAGTGCCAGGCCCAGGGGTACTGGAGCCGGGAGTGCTGCTGGGGGCGGGGGCGATGGGCTTGTACGACATCCCCGACTCCTGGGTGCGGGCGGACGCCGGCCGGCCGCTGCTCCGGGGTTGGCTGCTGGCCGTTCAGCTGCGCGCTGATTGGCAAGCGGGCTGCACGCCCCTGGTAAATAGAGCGCTGGCCGGAAGGGCGGGCGGGCACGAAGACTCTCTCACTCCCGATTGGCGCGCCGAAATGTCATTCGAGCCTCCTCATTGGCCGAGACCCGCCCCAGCAGGCCGCAACCACTGCTGATTGGCCTCTGTCTTCCGGACCTCGCACCTGTCTGTTCCGGATTGGGTGGCGGCCGAGGCCCTCCGCAATTGGCGAGTTCGCGGCCCGGGACGGCGCGCTCTCAATCCGATTAGTCCCAGGGTCCCCGGGGCGGGGCTTCGGAACCCGGACCTGGGTTTGGGCCGCCGTGGATCGCGCCGAAGGGGTCTTCCTGACACCTTACTCGCGCCTCACTAACGCTGCTTCGCGCCGCCCGGGCCTCGGCCCAGTCTCGGTTCGGCTGGGACTGCTGTCGCCGCAGTCGCCGCCGCTGAGGGCGCCTCTCCCACTCTCTCCGGACGCCGAAGGACGCAAGGCTTTGACGTTCCGAGCCCTGCGCCCCACCCCGTGCGCTTTTACGTCACCTTTCCTCGGTTCAAGACCCTCTCTCCGATCTGCGCATGCGCCTGCCTAAAAACCTTCGTTCGTTCCCATGGCAACGGGTCCAGCACCGACGCCACCACCAAAGGTTTTTTTCTCGGAATTGGCGGGTCCTCAGGTCACGGATTGGAGGAGGACTCATTAACAGCCTGCGTTATGCAGATGACACAACCTTGCTTGCGGAAGTGAAGAGGACTTGAAGCACTTGCTGATGAAAATCAAAGACCACAGCCTTCAGTATGGATTACACCTCAAAGAAAACAAAAATCCTCACAACTGGACCAATAAGCAACATCATGATAAACGGAGAAAAGACTGAAGTTGTCAAGGATTTCATTTGACTTGGATCCGCAATCAACACCCGTGGAAGCAGCAGTCAAGAAATCAAAAGACGCATTGCATTAGGCAGATCTGCTGCAAAAGACACAAAGTGTTGAAAAGCAAAGATGTCACCTTGAAGACTAAGGTTGCGCCTGACCCAAGCCATGGTTTTTTCTTATGTCTCATATGCATGCAAAAGCTGGACGATGAATAAGGAAGTCCGAAGAGTTGACGCCCTTGAATTGTGGTGTTGGCGAAGAATATTGAATACACCACGGACTGCCAGAAGAACGAACAAATCTGTCTTGGAAGAAGTCCAGCCAGAATGCCTTGGAAGCAAGAATGGCAAGGCTATGTCTCACATACTTTGGATATGTTATCAGGAGGGATTAGTCCTTGGAGAAGGACATCATACTTGCTAAAGTAGAGGGTCAGCGAAAAAGAGGAAGACCCTCAAGGAGATGGACTGACACAGTGGCTGCAACAATGGGCTCAAGCATAACAACGACTGTGAAGATGGTGCAGGACTGGGCAGTGTTTCGTTCTGTTGTACGTGGGGTCACTATGAGTCAGAACCCACTCGACGGCACCTAACAACAACAACAGGTCAAGGCTGGTGTTAGATCCCAGGGTGACCTCACAGCCTCCTCAACTCGCACCCACAAGACCCCGCACTTCCGCTTCGGAGAACGACAACAGCAGTAACAGCTGATCTTGGTTGCATACTTGCTGCGCATGGTGCCTGTACTAAAGGAATCACAGACAAGAGCACCGTCCGGAGGCAGGCTGCCTGGATTCGAATCTCAGCACCATCCATCTCATCTTAATATGGCTCAGTTTCCTCATCTGTAAAATAACTATCTCATCGGATTATGTTGTGTGGATTAAATGAATATATGTGAAGTGCTTAACGTTTCCTTTCCCTCGTTCCCATCTCACTCCAGTGCCTCAAAGCCTTTTCGTTCCATGCCCATCAAATCTCATTTCTCACGACCCTAGATCTCAGACCTTCCCCCTCCATTAAACCACACTTGTTGCTGTCGAGTCGATTCGGACTCATAGCAATCCTCCTCCATTACCACTGCTTTTTCCCAGGCTTCTTTTCCGGGTAGAGGGACTGCCACACGCAAAGGCTTGGCTGTGTGAGAGCACAGGTGATAGGGGAACAGCAGGCCAGTTTTTCACTGGAGGGTTCCTTGGAAAGCAGAAGGGCAGCAGAGATAACAGCAGGGGCAGGAGAGGAACCTGAGTGGCAAGCATATGAGGAAGCAGAGAGACTTGCTCACAATGTTTCCATAACTTTTGCTGTTTGTGAAACTTCTTCAAAGGTCTTGCCATCTACTTGACATTTCCTTTACATGTTTCCTTATAACCCAAAGTATAAAATAAACATCTATGAGTCCATAGTGATATAAATAAATAGGAGAGAAGAGATTACTCTCCTGTAAGAAGAATTCCAAATAACTTACGTAGATAAATGCTGCCCTCAAGGAGCTTGTGATAGTCAATGCTATGTGTCAAGTTGGCTAGGCTATGATTCTCAGCCGTCTGGCAGACACTGTGTAATCATCTTCCATTTTGTGATCTGATGTGAGGAGCCCATCAGTTGAACAGGGAGTTTCCTTAGGGATGGGGCCTGCCAGAACATCCATTTATATACTCCCTGCTTACATGTGGGCTGTGCCTAGTGACTTTCTTTCAAAGAGTACAGTATGGAAAGGGAGAGAAATGAATACAACTGTTATGGATCAAATTGTGCCCTCCAAAAATGTGTGTCAACTTGGCTAGGTCATGATTCCCAGTACTGTGTGATTGTCTACCATTTTGTCACCTGATGTGATTTTCCTGTGTGTTGTAAATCCTACCTCTGTGATGTTAATGAGGCAGGGTTAGAGGCAGTTATGTTAATGAGGCAGGACTCAATCTATAAGATTAGGTTGTATCTTGAGTCTATCTCTATTGAGATAGTAAAGAGAGAAGCGAGCCAAGAGACGGAGACCTCATGCCACCAAGAGTGAAGAACCAGGAGGGGAGTGTGTCCTCTGGACCCAGGGTCCCTGTACCTGAGAAGCTCCTAGACCAGCAGAAGATTGATGACAAGGACCTTTCCCCAGAGCCAACAGAGAGAAAGCCTTCCCCTGGACCTGGCACCCTGAATTCGGACTTCTAGCCTACTAGATGTGACATAATAAATTTCTGTTTGGTACAGCCATCCACTTGTGTTGTTTCTGTTACAGCATCACTAGATAAGTAACACAATAACTTAGCTTAGAGAAACTTCACCAACACTCCCTCAGCCAGGTGATCAAGGTCAACATCAAGTTGGTTCGTTCCAGTTCAAACCCCTGCTGATAATTTGCATTTCCACACTAGATGTACTGAATCTGAATCTACATTTTAATAAGATCTCCAAGTGATTCTTATGTATAATAAAAATTGAGAACCACTGCTCCACTAGTGGTTCTCAGAACTGGACCCTAACCAGCAGCATTAGCATCGCCTGGAAGTTTATTAGAAATGTAAATTGTCAGCAGGGGTTCGAACCAGAACCCTGACGTCAACAGTGATGAGTCACACGTACACCCTTGATGTGATGTGTTGAGAAGGGCACTTTACGTCTGGGGTCTTCCTCCCCAAAACACATTACCCCATCTAATCATAAGAAAAACATCAAACAAATTTCAATTCCTACTCATAGTGACTCTATAGAGACCCTGCAGGACAGAGTAGAACTGCCCCCATAGAGTTTCCAAGGAGTGGCTGGTGGATTTGAACTGCCAACCTTTTGGTTAGCAGCCGAGCTCTTAACTACCTCACCACCAGAGCTCCAGGGGAAATAAATAGAGGTCATCAAAAACACAGAAAGTCTAAGAAACTATCACAGCCAAGAAGAGCCTAAGGAGACACAGTGACTAAATGTAATGTGGGCTCGTGGATGAGATCCCGGGACAGAAATAGGGAAACATTAGGGGAAAACTGAGGAGATTTGAGTAAAGGATGGGCTTTATAAGGATGCATCGATATTGGACCGTTAACAGTGACAACTGTACCATACTAATTAAGGTGTCAACAATCAGGTGTGTGGTACACAAGAACTCTCTGTACTGTCTTCACAATCATCCTGTAAACCTATAGTGCTCTAAAATAAAAAGCTTATTTAAAGGTAAGTGGATGTAATCTCTTGATCTGGGCGATGATTATCTGGGTACATGTGTTGTTGGTGTTAGCTGCCATTGAGATGGCCCTTGACTCATGGCCACTCCACACACCATGGGACAAATGCTGCCCGGTCCTGCCCCATCCCTATGATCGGTTGTGGATCAGGCCGTTGTGATCCACAGGGTTTTTATTTTTAGAAGTAGATCGCCAGCCCTTTCTTCCTAGCCCGTTACAGTCTGGAAGCTCTGCTGAAAACCTATTCAGCATCATAGCAACATACACGTGTAAAAATTCACTGAGCTGTCCACTTCAGATTTATACACTTTACTGAATGTATGTAATGACCACCTCCCCCGAAAATGTAAAGTGGATCTAAAAATTTGAATTTACAGCTTCCCTTGGAAAATCAGAAGATCTCCTAGCTCCAGCCTTCTTCTGACTGGCAATAGTTGGTGGGGCTGGGTGGCAGGTGCCCCCTTTATGCGGGGAAGGGGCTCTCAACTCACCCCACTCTCCACCTTCCTGCTCTTTTCCCCCTGGCCCTGATCCCAGCTCTAGCTGTCATCTGCTGGCACCTTCTGGGCCAAGAGTCCTTTTGGGGTGGGAGGGTGTGTGTGAGATCTGGGGAAGCTGTGGGCACTGCAGGTGCCGACACGCACTGCAGCTGGTTAAGACCATCTGGCCAACCGCCCCCCAACAGAGCCTCCCAGGCTAGGGGCAAGTAGGGAAAGGCTGACCCTGAGCTGGGTCTGGTCTTCCCCTGGCAAATAGCCAGCACACACCCCCTTGCCCGCAGAGGGGGCAGACGTCTTCTCACGCAGCAATGCCATCTGTGCCAGCCATAGAGGAAGGCTGGGCCATGGCTCCCAGAGAAGCTGCTGGGGCCAGGGGAACTCATCCTCATCCCCAGGCCCTGCCAGATTGGCAGGAGAAATCACCTAATTGAGGATTAAGGATTAACTGGCATCTCCCAGGCCGAGTGGTGCAGCGGCTGCGGCAGCCAGCCCCGGCACCTCGGTGCCAGGCTACGGGCTGGGCAGGGCACCATGAGCGACTGTCCGCCTCCTCTGTCCCAGGACCCTCTGGTTGGCAGGAGTGATGGTGAGGACCAGGCATGGGTGCTGGAAGCTTCCTCCTACTTCTTGAGCCAGATGTCAGGGCTCGACCTCCTTCCCAGCTGCCATTGGTCAGGCCATGCCTGTGCAGATTGGACCTTTGCTAGAAAAGTCTGAGGCCTGTCCCTGTCCACCCTGGTTGTACTGTGGCTTTTGAGTCCCTGGGCCTG